GCCTCCCAACAAAACATGCACCTTCCACTACTGAGAAATACCTCAAAGAAATCAGAACCGCTACCCAACCAGATATATATGCACACCATGCTTGTCACGGCATGTTAACAAAAGCAAAAAGTTGGAAACAACCTAAGTACCCATCAACAAACGAATGGATAAAGAAGCTGTGATATAGTCACACAATGGAATACTACACTGCACTGAAAAACAAGGAACTCATGTCACTCAAAATGGGTGACCCTGGAGGACATTATGCTGAGTGAAATATTTTAGTCACAAAAGGACAAATACTGCATGATGTCACTGTTGTACAACAGGACTGACATCAGGGCTGGAGGGAGACTAAGAAAGTTGGGATAAATAATGTATACTGCATTGAAACAAATTAGAGAGAGAACTGTTTAAAAGGGACATGTGATTAGGTATTATTGTCATGACAGGAGTCCAGAATGAATGCTGCATAATGGAGAGGACTTGGGGAGAGGGATTGTATAACAATGAAACAATTTTTCTTTTATTTTTCAAAGAGAAGAGCAAACTGGGAGCGAGAGGTGGGAGAAAAGTGCAACAATTAATGAATGGAAATCCAAAGTCTCTGTAAATTTTCATTAAAGTTAATAATAATAAAATTTCAAAAAATTATTTACATGGAAAAAAAAATCCACCTACTAGAGCGGGAGGAGGCCTTACTCGCTGTGACCGCTAGATGGCGAAGGCGGCCCGCGGACAGGAGGAGGGCGCGCTCCAGACCGCGCGGGAACGCAGTGCTTCCAACCGAGCTGGAAATGCGGGGTCCAGCCCCGGACTGAGCGTTACAGGCTAAGCCCTTGCGCACCTACATATAGAGAGAGGCTTGGGGCTTTTTGAGGAGGTGAGGGGGGGATTGGTGGCGCCACGGTTGAGCGCTTGATTACAAACTAAAAGACATTGGAGTGAGTTGGGGTGGGATGAACTTGGAAGCCTGATTGTCCTGGAAAAAAGGTTTGCACTAAATGAAAGATTTCCAGCCTTGGCAAGCCTCGGGGGACAGTTCTACTCTGCGGTATGGGGTTCACCAAATTGCAGTTTTTGTTGTTGTTTAAGGAGGTGAGGGAAAATAAGAAAGGAGGGGTCTGCACGAAATAAAAAGTAGCCAAGCACACGGGGGGGGGGGGGGGTGAGGGATGCAGGCGGATGGGGGGCCCCTTGGTAAGGCCCTCATTGTGGGTCTGCTCTGCAAATGGAGCTTCTAAATCCACTTTGGGGACCAACTCCGTCTGCTCCCTAGGAGAGACTCAGGATTCCGGAAAGGAGATGGGCTGTAGTTAGTGGTTTAACGGTAAGGAGTTGCGCTGCCAACAGAGAGACGCAGGTTCGAACCCACCGGCTGCGGATCGCCATCCACCAAGTCGTGAATTCACCAGGAGAAAGGTGAGCCGTCTCCTCCCGTGTGATTCACAGCCTCTGAAAACCTGCTGGAGGGTCAGCTAGGAGTCACTTTATGAACAACAAATAATGCCAGAGGTTTACTTTTTCTTTAAACCGTAATTAAGGCCTGTGCAAATCTGAGACTGTCCGCTGGGCTCGCGCGCCCGGAGGAAATCCAGCGCCTGCGGGCCCCGGAGCGCGGGAATCCCGCGCGGCTCTGGCGAGCCCAGGACGCAGGCACGTGAGCGCAGGCAGCCCGAGTCCACGCGTTCGAGGCCGCCCGCGGGGTGCTGCCCAAGCTTGTGTCCTCGAAAGCCTGAATATGAAGGATGCGGATTCGGTATTCCATGCAAGGGGACCCAGTAGGGCTCTCCCGGCACCTCTTTTGCGTTTTTCAAACTGCATTTTCAAAAGGAGCCTCCTGGGGGGCACCGGAAGACTCCCGGGGTGAGAGTCACACCTTGGAAGTGTGTGTGCGCGCGGGCGCAGGGCGGGCGAGAGACGCAGCGTCCAGACGGATGGAAAAGGGGCACTTTTCGTTTCTAACGGTTCCGTGTCGGCGAAAATCGAGGGGTGGGGCGGGGGAGTGTGTTTATTCCGGAGCGTTTTCATGACAGTCTGCAGACTGTTTATTAGTTCTTTTTAAGATGACATTCCCTGCCTCCCCCACCCCAACCCACGTTTGGTTCGGATAAAAAGATACCTTGTCGTTGCCTTTACCCGAGTTTAAAGCTAATCAAGGAGACTGAAAGAGAAGAAAGCGGAGTCAGATCTCCAAATGCAGACTTGGGAGACCCGAAACTCGCCATTGTGCTGCAGGCAAAGGTCTTCAGGCTCACCTCAAGCTTGGTTCCACACGCCACCCGCATCCTTCCCCTTTTCTTCCCGCCCTTCCCAGCTTTCCTTCCAGACCCCAGGGGCTCCCATCCCCTTCCCCAGGACAATACCCCGAGCCCAGCAATCCCCGGTTCCTGCCAAGAGGATTCCCGCAGAGCAGGGGCGCGAACCCGTGCCGGGCTGGAGAGGGGGCGGGGAGGCGCTGCTCCAAGTGTGCTCCAAATCCAGGGTTTCCAGAAGCCACCGTTGGGACACCCACCCACCCCCCAAGGAGACCGGAACAAATGATGAAAAATGCGGGGCCCTGAGAAGACTGGAGGTCGCGCTCAGCCTGGCAAATGCCGTTACCTGCCATTCAGAACTGGGTAGCTTGCTTTCCAAGTTTCCTTTTTTTTGGTCGTAGTTTTAGGATGTATTTTTTTGGTTTGAGTCCGAAAAAGAAAGGAAGCACGAACCTGGCGAGGCTGCAGGTCCCCCTACCCCCATCTGGGAGCACCGGGGACGTGGCCCAGCCGCCCCCAACCTCCGCCACCAGCGCCGGGCCCCTGGCAGAGAATGTAAACAAAGGCGGCGCGGAGCCCTTGATCTCTATTTAAATAGAGGCTTGTTTATCGGTGTCATCCTAGGAGGATTAATTAGATACATCTTTTCACAATTTGGTGTCTGACACTCCATCTTCGGAATGCCGCATCACAAGGTGTTAATTGAGGCCACTCAGCCACTTACGTTTCGATTAAACACTGTCAGAGACTTTTCACAAGTCTTGGGTCCTTTTTTTTTTTTTTTTTTTACTGTACAGTGCAAAAAATATACAAGACCCGAAATAGGCCGGGTTCGGCGGCGATTAGCATTCCCAGGCCCTCCCGAGGGAGCGCCCGTCTCCAAATGCCAGCGCCCGGACCCCCTTGCCAGGCAGCGGGGAGCGTGGGTGCGCCCAGCCCCAGGGCCAAGCAGGAGGGCCCAGCCCCCTTCCGCCCCGTCTGGCTCCACCATCCGCAAATCCACATTTAAAATAAAAAAAAAAATAATAATAATCACAATCTCAAAGCGTTTGCCCCTTGCTCACAGGGGCAGTTTTCAGATTGTCTTTGCCCAAATGTTTTGAGCAGGGACTCCCCTGAAGACGGTTCCCAACATGAAGAGCAATTCTTCGTCTAAGGCTGGGTAAAAACCAGGTAAAAGTTCCTGCTGACCTTAATCGGGTGAAGAAGCCCCAGCAGATCGAAGCTAATCCATTTAGTGGTTGCATTTCCGCGAGGACACTACCCCCAGACCTTTACCTCTGGGGGATGGGGTGGGACTGAAAAGGTTTGCAGCCCACCAGGGACTGTCTGCTGATAAGTCTGGTGGGCTGTGTGTCGGCGGGGGTCGGGGTGTGCCCCCGCCCCACTCCTAGCGTGGACCTGGGGCCAAAAGCTCAGCCAAGGTGAGGGGTGGCCTTCGCCCTCCTGGGGAATGCGAGCCCAATACACTGAGCTGTTTGCCGAGCAGCAGGCGCACCGGAAAACTGGGAATCCTCCTCTGCGACCGCCCCCCACCCCCATCCGTCTTCCCCCCATCCCCCAACCCAGCCTCCTGGGGCAGAAGAGCCCGAGATCTCCAAGCCAAAGTCAGGTCACAGAAGCCAAACCATGTTGGAAACTCATATTGCCCTGCTGTGGCTGGGGCACCCAGAACTTCTCACTGCGCCAAAGTCCACAGCAGTGGCTGGGGAGCCCCCCGTGCGCCCAAGGATAGGGAAAAGAAATCTAAGCAGTTGGCAAAGTGGGGGGTTCCCACGGCTGTCAGCCAGTGCCAAGGATTAGGGAAGAGGTTTCCAAGGATTATATTGGCTAACCTTTCACTCCTCATTGTACAGACGTCCCAGTGGGGTGAAGCAAGCGCCCTCTTCAAGGTAAACAACAACGTAAACATCCCGTTTCCACCCCCTCACGATCTCAAGAGCCTCCCGTGGTCCTGGGGGTAAGGGGGGGCCCAGGTAACTGGAGAAGGGGGGCATCCCAGAGCTCTAGTCAATGATTCAAACCAGTTGAGATAAGACAGTAGTTCTGCCCGTTCCTGTATTGAACCACATTTATTAAAAAGGACTAAGACTGTACATAAAAATCCCAAGTCACTAAAAAGCCTAGATAGAAGCTGTGGAGGGAGGTTTGGGTTCTTCACATTCCTGAGATGGTGGAACGGAAGAGGAAGAACGAGGGGTTCTCTTTATACATGTTTCAAGTTAGTACAGGGGAGCTGAATACATTCTTAACTATCTAAGAAGTAAACAGAATTATTCCCAAAAATTGGGGACAATGAAACTATTATCCTGCCCCTGCAGCTGCTCTCCGTGGTTTGCAAACTCTTTACAAAGCCAAAGCACCCATTTTACATTATGTCGGATACCTAGGGAGACTATTTGTACAATATATTCCACGTTATATTCTACAGTGTCCTAAACACACACAGCTGTACATTTAAAAAAAAACAAAACAAAACAAACAAAAAAAAAAACCAAAACAAACCAAACCAAACTCCTCTCTTTTTTGGCTATTTCCCTTCCAGAGTGCTTGGGTCACCCCAACACACAGCAGAGGCCAGCAGACTCTCAAGTGAAGCAATCCTGAAGTAGGCAAACATGGCTTGTTCCAGAAAGACTGGGAGGAACTCATGTCATCTAGAACCCACATCTTTGCAACGTTTTTCTTGCCTCCCAGACACACCTGTCATCTTTTGTCCCTCACAGAAGGTAATAACAAAACGTCCCCTGTTGAAACTTAAGGATGGCCCAGCCCTTTGTTGCCAGAAGCAAAACCTCCTTTGCATTCTGGCTTTTTATCTGCCTAAAGGCTTCCAAACAGAAATGATAAACAAAGCTTTCAATTCATTTGGTAGTGAGTGCTCTGGCCCTCCACTCTTCACAGCCCAATGTTTAGTGTCTCCAATGAATAAATCCTAAACCTTGCATACCTTTCAAAAGGTAAAACACTTTAAAGCCCTCCTCCATTAACATCATTTTCAAAAAATAAGGTGGTGGGACTGGAGATGCTAGGTCTGTTTCCATTACCTGCAGCAATCAAAAAGCTTTGGCACCTTCTTTAGAGAAATTGCACAAAACAGGATGCATCAAGATGGAAGGGAAAACATCTTTTTTGGCAACCTAGACAAAGAAGACAGCAAAAAACCAGAACAGAACAGAACAAAAACACCACCAAGTCCATCTGCAAAAAACGTGAACTAGTTTTCACAAGGTTAAAAGCATTCTTTAGGGAGTCGTGTAAAAGGCGTAATATCCTCCCATGCTTTTGGAGGTTTCTTTGCTATACTCGTCCGCATTAATATCCTCACACTTGACGGAGGGAGAATTTTCGTTACTGGAGGTGCTGGGAGACAGACGCCTTCGTTTACAAGCACTGGTGTAGACCCCTGAATCATTGGAATCGAGAGACTTGATGGAAGGAGGTGTCTCGATCCAAGAAGAACTAATTTCTTCTTTGACTTTCTCCTTGGAGAGCTGATCTTCTGAGAATACAGGGGGGCTCGTTCTGGATGTCCATGGTAGTCCAGCAGCCATCTTCCTCTGATAAGAACCTCGACCTCCCCACCCTGCCATAGCAGGGAAAGTGGGGTCCGGGTAGTACCCCAGGGCATGGGATGTCTGGAGGGGCAAAGATTTAATACCATATGGAAGCAAGCTGCTGGAAGCATATTCAGACTCATAGGAACTCATGTCCAGTTTGTTGGTCCCGGCTTGCTGGACAGGTGTGACAAGCCACCGCTGGGGAGGGTTGGCCACCTCTTCGTTCTGTTGGGGTGAAAGGAGGCCGTTGGTCTGTGGCACGGCTCTCTCGCCATTATAATATCGGGCTGGAGGTAAAGTGTTGACAAAGGGCTCCGGGAAGAAGGGCTGAACTCCGTACCGACCTCCGGGGACAATCTGATGGGATCTAGGAGAATCCGTGGGGGATGGAGTTAATCTGTCATTTTCTGAAGCGGTGTACATGCTACAATATAATATAAAGAGAAACACTTAAAAAACCCCTAAGGTTGATCCCAAACAAACCACCTCCCGGAAATGAAAAGGAAAAAAAACCAAAAGCAATAAAATCTGGTAATTATTGTTGGTGCTGAAAGTTTGGAGGTTTGTTACAGTAAAAACAGCATTAATTAGCCCAATTGAGCCAGACTCAAATTATATGAGAAAGCTTCCTCTGATGCATTCAGTAACTCAGGGGAAAGTCACCTTCACAAGTCCCAGGACTTGAACTCCAAGCAACCCTCCTCTTAGGCCAGTGAGAGAGGGAAATGCTGGCTATGGTGTCAGAAAACCAGACCTGCTGACTGACGCTTCATAAATGATGTCTGTTTATCCGGGTTTTGTTAGGTTAAAAAAAAAAAAGAAGGGGGAGAGGGGAAGTGATGGCTGTTCTAGCAGATAAAGCTGGATCAAAGTCAGAAAAAGATATAAATGTAGATTCTTAAAATTCTAAATCTCCATTGGAATGTCTTGGGGTTTTGGTGGTGTTGTTTTGTTTTGTTTTTTAAAAAAAACCAAAACACCTCCCCCTCCCCTATTACAAATTCAAAAATTGCACCTCATTGCCATCAAGTCAGGTGGCCCTCCACTGAGTTTCCAGAGGCTGTAAACAGCACACAGTATGGGAGGAGTCTGCCTATTTTTCTCCTGGGGGATTCAAACCCCCTACCTTTTGGTTGGCAGTGCAACTCCTTACCCATTTATAGGCCCTTCATATTTCTTTTGAAATCAATAAAAACGTTCTTTGGAAATGTTCAAAGCAAGATTAGTAAAGTAAAAAAAAAAACAAACCCACCATTAAAAATTTTTTAAAAAAGGGAAAGTCTCAAACACCCAAGCTTTTGCTAGAATATATTCTCAAAGAGCTTGGTTCTGTATGCATATTCAAAGAAGACCAGACACACATTAAGTTAAAGTTGCACTTACGAATCATAGTTGTCCCTGAAGCCTTTCGCAAAGGGGTTATGATCAATCTTTAGTTGAGTAATCTAGACATAAGAGAAAAACAGCAGCTGAGTGAGTGCTTCAGCACGGCCCGATCCAGCTTTCAAAGATTCTGGGGTGGGGGGACCGTTGGGACACTCACATCTGTGTTTTGGTAAGCCGTCACCGCGATGAACTGCGTTTCCGAGAAGGTGAAGGTCTGAGTCTTGGAGGGCTCATTCAGATCCTCCACGCCATCCTCGGTCACTTCAACAATGTGCAGTCGGGGCTGGTACTTGTGCAAAGACTGTAAAACTATCATCTAGAAATGGTACAGAGAAAGAGTTGCCACAGCAGCGAAGACTCTTAGACGTTCGACAAAACCAGATTCTAAAAGGATATAAATTTTACAATGTGCTTCCTCTCCACTAAGAATTGTTTTTTCTTTTTAAACTGCCTTATCAAAGATCTATCTCATCATTGGCATTTTTTAAACTTAAAACAAATAGCCAGGTATTCATATTTGAGAAACATTTTGTGTGTGTGTGTGTGTGTGTGTGCGCGCGCGCGCGTGCTCAGTTTTTCCTAAGTCCCTCAAAGGATGTCAGCATTTCTGTTTGTAAATAGCACCAAGTCATTGTTACCGATATGTAGGGTTTTTTTTTTTTTTTAAAAAAAAGTGAAATTGAGAAAGGCAAAAAGAAAAATAAAAAGTTAGGAAGGAATTAGCTAAGTAACTGTTCAGAACATTACAAATTGTGTGCAATGGGTATGGACTCTTAGAAAAGAGAGTTTACCTGGAAGACACACACCACCACTTCTGTCAGCCTACCTGGGTATTGTTGTTGTTGGCACCTTTGTTATTGGTGAGTTTTAACTTCCCAAATGATATCTCCTGCCTCATCCAGTGGGAGCCAGTATTGGGAGATTCAGGGTGAACATACATTTTGTTGCCTGTGAGAAGCAAAACACAGCACAGAGTGTGGTTTACAAATCGCTGCAGAGTCTATTCAAAGAGACAAGGCTAAAATTTACAATCCATTTCCTGAGTCTAGTGAAAAAAAAAAAAATAACCGGATTCCTTTGACACAAGGCCTGCCAACCGCGTGCCCAGCCTCCCTTGGTGCAGGCACTCATTTTAACCATCTCAAAATTGTAGAGTGGAGCCCACAGGAGACCCCTTTTGATGGTCACTCTGAAGCCCTTCTGAAGCTGGAAAGGGGCAGCCTCGGCACTGCTGTAGTTAAAACTTTCTAATGCTCACTAAAGGGCACTCCTCGGGAGAAACGAGGGCCAGTTCATCTTACTGGGTCTCTGTGAGTTGTAATCCACGCCACTAGCAGGGGGCTTGGACTTTGTTGGGTTGTTGTTGTTTTTTTTTTTTATTTTTTAATTTTACACTGGAAAAGCACCATCTGGAAGGTAGATGGGCTTTCACAAGTGAGTTCAAACCAGGGGAGCCTTTTTTCTCTTCCTGAAACCAATGTGACCCCCTAGCCTTCCCCACCCTGGTATCTCATCATCTATCAGTTTTCCAAAATGGAAACAGCCAGGACTTGGGGGGGGGGGGCTGGAAGGGAATGGTGGTGTGGGGTGAGGATGAAAGATTCAATGCACTGGTAGGCGACAAGTCTGACTTGGCAATTATTTTCACCTTTTCAACTCTCAAGTGCAGAGGAGGCTTTACTAGTCCGGCTAGGCCCTACCTTGGGGGTGGGGGAAGCGAGTTGCTAGATTTAAATGTGAATTGTCTAGAGTCAAAGGGTGAGATTTCCAATCGTTTCCCCTCCCCCCTCCACGCCCCCTCCAACCCAGACGTCGGGGGGTCCCCCTTTCTCCTCACCCTGCATGTTATTGTCAGCTTTACCGCACGTCACCCATTTGCCCCCCTGGAAACGCCAGTGGTTGGGGTCGGCCAGCACCACTTCTACAAACACGTTATAGTGAGCAGTGGGATTGAGTCCGTTTATATTGAAGCTCAGGAAGGGAAACATCCGCCTGTTCGAAGGAAGAGAATGGGGGGGGGGGGGGAGGAAAGCGATTTCAACCCTGAGAGCTCCCCGGACATCCAGGAGAGGACCGAGTAGCCTCCAACGACCAGCAGAGACAGAATTTTTCTTTTACTTTTTCAAAGAGAGGAGCAAACTGGGGGAGCGGGGGGGGTGGTGGTGGAGAAAAGTGCAACAATGAATGAATGGAAATCTAAAAATAAAATAAAATAAAAAAGTAGAGGTAAACGATTTAGGAGCAGCCAAACCTTGGCCCACGTTCCTCTTTGACCAAATAATTTGACCCCTAAGGCAGCATTTCCTAAATTCATACGCTTTGGAAACCTTCCTCTCCACTCAGGTTCTCCGATCCTTTCATCCGTGTTCATTCCGGAACATTAGGACTTGTGTACGTTTAAACGCAGAAGTGCCAATAATAACAAGAAGCGCTCGCAAAATGAAATTTCTACGGGTAAGCCTCCAATCCGGCTATGAGCGCCCATTCTCAGCACGGCCTTTCCCACTGTCCCCTCCTCCCTTTCCATCACAACCACCAGTTAGCAGCAGCACTTGGATGCGTTATCAGATCTTTTCTGGTACCTGGGACCTGAGCCAGGTTCGACTCCAAGGCCATCTTAGTTCACGCCCAAGCCCTCACTTCCACCTTCTAGGGCGAACCGGTGACGGCCTTGGCGGGAAAACGGCGGGAGTCCATCTACCGGACTCAAGTAGCCAACCCCTGGCTGGCACCTTCTCCTATGCCCGCATGCCTGCCTCGTCGGGACGCAAGAACCCGTGCATGGCGCACGGCAACTTGAAACATCTAGTGGATCCAACTTTATAGGGATGCCCAAATTTCCATTCCCGCCTCCTGCCAGTGACTCAAGATGAGAATGGTGAGGGGATGCGAAGGGGTGCAGTCGGGGAGCAACACCACCATGAGCCTCCAGCAGAAAACCTAGGTGCCCAGATCCGGAGAGGAACCTGATTGCAGATGTAGGGTCTCCACTTAAAAGTGGAAGTGCGAAAGGGGAGAGAGCAGAGCCTCTTCAAGCAAAGCTCGGAACTAGTGGGCGCGCTCCGCGCCTCCCCTAGGACCATACACTCCCCCTTTCACTGCGCAGCCCTGGGGCCCCCTCCGCGCTGGGCTCACCTGCCCTGTTTCGTAATGATCATCTCGGTTTGGTGGCGGTGAAATTTGAGCCACAGAGGCCGGTTGCACAGGTAGACGTGAGCACGGAAGCCGGAGCCGGGCACCCCCAGACCTCCCAGTCCTCCGCAAGACCCGGCCGCCGCCGCTCCGGAGTACGGTGCGTAAAGCGAAGCGCCCTGGCCGTACTGATAGGCGCCCGGGCCGCCTCCTCCACCGCCGCTCCCACCTGCGCCGCCGCCAGCAGAGGCTCCGGGGCCGAACTGTGCCCTCCCGGGTGGGCATACAGCAGCGGGGAAGCCGCCGGGGGGCAGCATGGAACCGTAGGGGTAGCGCGCTCCGTTGGGCGCGGGGTACATGGAGCCGTGGGGCGCCCCAGCAGCCGCCTGGTACGGGAAGAGGGAGCAGGGCGCGGGCAGCTCGGAGCTCTGAGGCCCGGGGGACTGCAGGTAGTAGCGCTCGGAGCCCAGGGTGTCCATGGAGTAGCGCGCGCTGGCGGCGGCCGCGGCGGCGGGCAGCTCTTCCTCTCCGCAGGGGGAGCTCTTGCGGCCGTCCGGGGGCCCCGGCTTGGACACCGCCGCGGTGCTGGCGAAGGCGTCTCCGGCGTCGGCGTCACTGAGCATGGCCGAGGGGGCCCCCGCGCTGGCGGCTGTGGTCTCCCCGCTGCCCGCCTCGCACGAGAACTTCTTGGGCGCTTTGTCTAAGTCCAGCCTTTGGGGCGAGGGCGCTGCGCCGGGGAGGTGGCCCGCGCTCCCGCCGGCGCCGCCTCGCGCGCTCTCCAGAGGGTAAAAGTGCGCGCCGGGCAGGTTCACGGAGCTCACGAGGAGCTGCTCCCCTAACTGCATGCTTTGCCGATCGCAGACGGCAGCTGGCTGTTTGCGCTCCTCTCCAGGCCTTATTATAAAGGCGGAATGGGGGAGCCAGCGCCCCCTTCCGAGGGGAAAGTCTCTTCCCCTTCTTCCTGCGAGCGGGCTCCCCACCTGCGGCCGGCCGAGCCACCTCCACGCGCACTCGCTCGCCTGCGCTCCGAGTCCTTCCTGCCTGCCTGCCTGCGGGGGAAAACGCACAGAGTCCGAGGGCTGGAGATGGACCCGGATCGCGAGGCCAAATACTTCCCTTCCTTAGACCACCTTCCGGGGCGCACACGCCTCTTCCCGCGCGCTCACCCGGGCAGAAAAGGATTTAAGTCTCTATCCCCATCCACCCGCGGACCCCTTCAGGAACGCCAACTTGACCACTTAAAAACTCGCGGGCTGTCAACCTCAGCGTTATATACGTGCGGCCAGGGAGGGGCTTGGCGGTCCCCGCCGCCCCGGAACCCTCCTATTGGCTGAGAGAGGTGACATTAATTCAATTAGGCATCTACTAATTGGATCAAGTCGCCTGCTACTTTCCTTTCCTTTCGCCTGGATATTTTCTGGTTTTGAAACTGCCTTGCGGTGCCATCTCTGATGTCCATATTTCATCTGAGTTTGGGGGAACAGGGTTTGAGGTCCCTTTTCCCCGAAATCACTCCATTGCTTTGGGCAGAGAAGCAAGGGACCCGGGCAAATGCTAAAAGCCCAAAGGTGGAAGGACGCGAAGGAGCTGGGGAAGGAGTTGGAGACAAGTCAGGTCGAAGTCTCTTTCTTCGCCAGGGACTGTAACTTCAGCACACGTTTCTCCCAACCGGGGGAGGATTCCCTGATCTTCAACTCTCTGGAGCATTCCCTTTTGGGTCTGCCCTGTTGTTTACGCAAGTGGGAAGGGTTGTGGAGAGAGAAACTTCGCGCTCAGCTTCTGAGATTCCGGAAACAGCGGGGCACACGCCCACCCGCAAGAAGCGATGCCCTTAGCTTCTAGAACGCGAGCCTTTGGGGGTGACTCATTAAGGACTCGCCAACACTAGGCGCGTTTACCTTCATGCCCCCCTCAACACGCCTGCCTTCGTGGGGGGCAATGACCTTTAAGCCTCACAATTTAAAACTCTATGCCGCTCAATTTCCCTAAATCCTGCGTTTTAAACCCTCCTCCTAGGTCGTTTGTTACCTTCTCTCGGGCCTGGCACCGAGAGACAAAGGTTCGCTGGCCGGCGCGCTTAAGATTCCCTGCGCCTTTGCTCTGGGGCTCGACACAGAAGGTAGAATAATTAGTGAAATAATCAGTTTGGTGCTGAATTAAGTCCCTTTGCCCCAGCTGCCCGTTTCTCCGGTGCGTTTCTGCAGACAGTTGGAGCCCAAAACGGCGCTGCGCGATTTTACTGTTTTATTCTCGCAGAAGGGAGGAGGAGGGAACGTTTAGTTTCGCATTAGAAGGCGCGGCTGGTAATCGCCCCGGGAGCGCATTTGCTGGCGGGGATGTCTGGACTCGCGACCCCCTGAGAAGCGCTGCGGCCGGAACAGACGAGGCGGCTGCGGGAGCCGCTGAGCGCCAGCACGCCGACGCGGGACAAGGCGGGAGCTTTGGCCACCGAGGTTTAAGCCGCAGCATCTCCAACATCAGCACACATCGGGGTTAGAAGGCAGGGGGGACTCCTTCTCAGTGCAGAAGGGCGCTCTGCGTGTTTATCAGTCTTTCCAGGTGTGCACGAAGGGTTTTCAGGGCCAAGGAACAGCCCTGGGGAGGAGGCGAGCCCTGACCATGGGCGGGGACCAGGCCGGCCTGGAGCTCCGGGGCGGGTTCCAAGCGCGCTAGCTTCTACGTGCCCTGTTTTTCGTCCCCGCAGTTTTGCTTCGGGCTTGACGGTGCTCTTTTTGCTCTGACCGCTCAGCCGCCCACTCCCACCTCCCCCGGCTTTTGCTTTCTTTTGACGCAGAGATATCTTGAAGCATTGGAGTTTTCGACTAGTACAGATATTTCTAAAGAACGTTAGCTCGTTCTGGTCCTCAAGGTTCGCTGTGGGCTTGCGAGTGCAATGACAGGATGCGCTGCGCTTTGGCAACATGATCAGGGGTCAAGGGTCCTGGAAAGGACTGTGGGTTCCTCCCTGTTAGCCTTGACCGTAGCTGCAATATAAGTGCAAGATATGGTCAGGGTGAACTTCCCGTTTGTGCAAATATGGGGAAACAGGTGACCTAGGTGAGACGTGGAGGGCAGCTTTCATGCGGAGGGAGGCGGGCCTCAGTGTCCCTTTAAAATGCTTTCTAGGCGGCGGCGGTGGCGGGAGAGTGCTGCGCGTGGCAACGTGCCATCGCCGGCAACAGGCATGGTTTCGACCCACTCTGGCGCGAATAACACGAGCCAGCTGTCCCCCGCGCCACATCAGAAAGGGCTGATATTTTTCCAGCCCAGAGTAGGCTCAAGGAAGCGCGTGGGTTCAAGCCGATGCCACCAAAATATGAAATACAGACACGTTACGTGTAAATAGCATTTGTGGTGATTCGAGGGGCAGAGAAGGGTGGTCTGTATCTCCTGCATATCTCCAATAAATCTATTCTTCTACTCAAAGGTGAACACATTTTTTTTCAGATGTCAAGCAAAGAAAAAAAATATCAACTAGAATGAAAAAGATTCTACAAAACTGCTGTAGGATCCAACAGTTATGGAAAAGGAAAAAAAATATTACCCATTGCACCATACATTTATTGCTGTTTTCTTTAAAGTACTAAAAAGTAGTGTTCCAATTATTTCCTTTTAATGGCTACATAGAAGAAAAGAAATTTCCCTTACTTAACCCTCTGGGTTAATAAATTACCAGTTAAATTATTAATACGTGTGCAAAAGACTGGGCTAATTAATGATTATTTAGTTGCATTATTATTATTACACGTGGAAAAGATGGATCTAAAATGTCTAGAGACGTATCTCCCATTGTCTTCAAATAGGAAACAATTCCAAGGGGACCCTCCAGTTGTTTTTGGAGGCTGTAAATCACATGGAAGAATATTATTGCCCAACTTTCTCCCTGGGAGAGCAGCTAGGGATTTGAGCCCATCATCCACCCACCTTTGGGTTGGCCACTCCTTATCCACTAGGCCACCAGAGTTCCCTTCAGAGAAGTGTAGATGAACAAATGTATTATTTTCCCACTCAGAATGCACTTGTTTTTGTTACTTCAATTTTACTTATAACCAGGGAAATAAATATATTTTTTAAGTGTGTATATGTGTGCTTGTGTGTTTCTCCAAGTGTCCTTTCAAACTCAAAGCAATTCTTGAGAGAAATAGGAACAGAAAAGAAAGGCATCCTAGTGAGTGAACTTGTCAGGCAGCACCTTTCTCTGATGGGGTGGGCAAGGAACAGAGCCTTCTCAGCCTGTTTGCTGTTTGATTTCAGTTACACCCCGTGCTTCATGAAATCCAAATGAGACATTTATTGAAAGGTGCCTGGTTTTATATGGTTCAACTGACAGCATATTGGAATACACTGAACAAACACATCAACAGTGGAGAGGAAAGAGGAGATCCTTTAGAACCCCAGCCCCAGACACCGGCTGGATTAACGCAAATCGCCCACTTTTCAGATTCTGAGAGTGCCAGCAAATCCCTTTGAAAGCTTCCATGTTCTCCGATCCAGAGTAGTTAATAGGAAGCTCATCCCACCGTTTCATCCTGAGAACACAAAATTATTTGTTGCTCATCTGCTCAGGTGATGGCTTGACCCTTAACGGTAGGCACCATTAGGAATTGAAACTTCTGAAAGTGAAGCTGTGAAGCTTCTGGTTTTATAACAGGACTATTTTACCTCAAATGCATAAACACATTGTTGAACAATACAGTGCAGGGGTGAGTTATAGACGGGTGCAGTGATACATGGCCTCCCTTTCCCCTGCCCCCTACAACCAAGGGGGCCCATATAAATGTCCCCGTAAAGTCTATTATTTTCACCCCCACTGAAAACGTGTTATCAAAACACTATCCATGTTATTGAAACACTTTGTAAATTCTGAACAGACTAGCAGCAGGTTCCACTTTTAACCCTAGGAAAACATTCCAACATCAACTGGTCACCACCAGCTTCGCCTGGACGCTATGAAAATGTCAATGGAGGGGTTTTTTTTGTGTGGCAAGTTAGTTCTTTTACTATTTATCTATGGTCCTTTCTTTGTTGATGTTACGTTTTATTTCACCGTCTCAGGTTCGCTCCTTGGCCCTTTGTTCGCTGATGGCCAGAACTGCCTGCCACCTCTGAGGCTTTCCAAAAGCAGGGGTGGGGGGATGGGGCCGAGGGGGTGGGGGTGGTTCATAGCCCTCCCCCTCTTCTTTTAAAGGAAATATAAAGACCGCAAAACATTTTGGCAAGGACAAATAGTGTTGGCATGGGTGTTGACAACAGCAAAGTTGTCAGTCACAATTTCATTTTTATAAGAATTAATTGTTTTCCCATCGTAACATTGGATCAAACCCATTTCTTGCTAAAAAACCAAGACAAAACAAAACAAAAAATCTACCAGATGCACAAATATGTGAGGTAGTATTAAACCTACTCTATTTATGTAAAACAAGGAGAGAGACCAGTTTAATGATCCCCTCTTTGTCCATATTTTAAATGTAATTGTTTTTCACTGTTAATATAAATATGTTGTTTTTCACTGTTAATATAAATTCGTTGTGGAGGTAGTCAGGGAGGATCCTAAAGTTAATAAATGTATTAAAAATCGCTTATTGCAAAATTAGAGATGTTTTTCTTAAACACTGACTAAAAGAATCTTTGGCTACAGATCACATTCCTGACTTTCTCATGGAAATACCTTTTAACTTGCAAATTACTTCCTGAATTCAGCTGCTGTCTTATCCTCATCCTCTTCTATTTTGGGGGAGTGCATGTATCCACAAAGACAAGGAGAAAAGTCAGAGAAGGCAAAGTGAAATGTTCCCCCCAAAGAATATTAGGAGAACATTTGGACAATTACTGCTGAGTTAAAACG